CGGGCCTGTTGGGGTCTTATCATATCTGTTCTTGATGTGGAAAATACTGTATATATTTTCCAGAAATTCAGTATTTATATGTAAATAGATGGCCATACTGTATTTAATAATATTTGTCATAGAAAACGGAAAGCCTGCGTTTGCGCAGAGGAGACTCGCAATCTTGGTTTTGAATTTTGTACAAATGTTGGTGTAATGGGAAGAATTTTTCGTGCTCTAGAAGTTAAAATTGTGTTGACACCTCTCAAATAGGAGGCGAAATTGGTGGATGTGCATTCCTGCATAACTTGAGATATCAGACGACTGGACAAGACAGCTCCAGGGACCTCAGATAAGCTCTCTAGATTTGTGTGTAATTCTGGCCAACATTATTTTCATAGATTTAGTTAGAGTGAGGTTTTCTGAGTATGATACACATTAATCTCCAGTCAAATTGGTGAGTGATATTAAGATATATTTTCCTTCTGTTATGTAATTGTGTATATATATAACCATTTATTATTTTTAATATACAGTCCACAAATTTATATATTTACCAGTATTCCTGGTGTATGTATATTTTATTTAATTAATAGGTCCAGAGCAACTTGTGGTTATGACAGTGGTAGGTATCGAAGGGGAACATTTTTTGCGACCTAGGTGTCCCAAATTCCTACCTGTCTATGTAACATTGATAAATAATAATTATCTTTGTTATCATTTACTGTTATGTACATAATTAGTTACATTCAGATAAATGCAATTTTCCACACTTGAAGCTGTGTAATGATTTTCCCTCCACCACTGCCTTATCTAAGTCATTAGAAATAGTAACAGCCTGGCTGATCAGGCCCTGATCCACCGCGAGGTCTGGTCACAGACTGGGCCGCGGGGGCGCTGACCCCCGGAACTCTCTCCAGATATCAGGTAAGTTTTAGGGCTAGGTACGCATATGTGCAATTATCATATAACGTAAATTACCTAGGATAACCCAAGAAACTCAAAATTACTTTATTTCCATTGGGGTCTATTACACTTCTCATCCACCATGAGGATAAAAAATACTTACATGGTTTATCTGTGTCTTCAACTTCCAGCTGTGTCCCCTTGATCGTGGTCCTCTTAATTCCAACAGTCTGTACCAATTTGCCTTAACAATTCCTCTTAGTAAGTTTCTTTAGACACAGGTACACATTAGTAAATTATAGTGAGGTCCATGGTTTGATCCCCGGTACTGGTGGAAACAGGCAGTTTTTCCTTAAGACACCTGCTGTCCCTGTTCACCTAGCAGTAAAATAGGTACCTGGGTGTTAGTCCACTGGGGTGGGGTTCGCATCCTGGGGACAAAATTAACTTAATTTGCCTGAAATGCTCTGCGTAACCAGGGGCTTTCTAAATAGTAGAGTGTCGGAAAAGGACCCCAATGGAAATAAGTGACTGTACTCACCTAATTGTGGTTGCAGGGGTCGATTCACAGCTCCTGACCCCACCTCTTCACTGGCCGCTCCATGAGCTTTATCATACCTCTTCTTAAAGTTATGTATGGATCCTGCCTCCACTACATCACTTCCTAGACTATTCCACTTCCTGACAACTCTGTGGCTGAAAAAATACTTCCTAACATCCCAGTGATTCATCTGAGTTTTCAACTTCCAACTGTGACCCCTTGTTGCTGTGTCCCATCTCAGGAACATACTGTCTCTGTCCACTTTGTCGATTTCTCCCAGCATTTTATATGTCGTTATCATATCCATCCTATCTCTCCTATCCTCCAGTGTCATCAGGTCGATCTCCCTTAACCTCTCCTCGAAGGACATACCTCTTAGCTCCGGGACTAGTCTTGTTGCACACCTTTGCACTTTCTCTAGTTTCCTTACGTGCTTGGCTAGGTGTGGGTTTCAAACTGGTGCTGCATACTCCAATATGGGCCTAACGTACACAGTGTACAGGGTCCTGAACGATGCCTTATTAAGACGTCGGAATGCTGTTCATAGGTTTGCTAGGTGCCCATATGCTGCAGCAGCTATTTGGTTGATATGCGCCTCAGGAGATGTACCCTGTGTTATACTCACCTCAAGATCCTTTTCCTTGAGTGAGGTTTGTAGTCTCTGGCCCCCTAGACTGTACTTTCTTTGCCCTTCCTCAATCTTCATGACTTTGCACTTGGTGGGGACGAACTTCAGGAGCCAGTTGCTGGACCAGGCCTGCAGCCTGTCCAGATCCATTTGTAGTTCTGCCTGGTCCTCATCCGACTGGATTCTTCTTATCAACTTCACATCATCTGCAAACAGGGACACTTCGGAGTCTGTTCCTTCTGTCATGTCGTTCACAAATACCAGAAACAGCACCAGTCCTAGGACTGACCCCTGTGGAACCCCGCTCGTCACAGGCGCCCGCTCTGACACCTCGCCACGTACCATGACTCGCTATTGTCTTTCTGACAGGTATTCGTGATCCACTGCAGTGGCTTCCCTGTTATCCCTGCCTGGTCCTCCAGCTTTTCCACTAATCTCTTGTGTGGAACTGTGTCGAATGCCTTCTTACAGTCCAAGAAAATGCAATATACCCACCCCTTTCTCTCTCTATTGTCTTACTGCTGTCATCCTGTCATAGAACTCCAGCAGGTTTGTGACAGGATTTCCCATCCCTGAAACCATGCTAGCTGTCATTGAAAAGCTCATTCCTTGCTAGGTGCTCCACCACTCTTCTGATAACCCTCTCCATGACTCTGCATACTATACATGTCAGTGACACTGGTCTGTTTACCTGGAGTTTACCTGGAGAGAGTTTCGGGGGTCAACGCCCCTGCGGCCCGGTCTGTGACCAGGCCTCCTGGTGGATCAGCCCCTGTAGTTTATGTTTCGTGTCTGTCTCCTTTTTTTAAAAGTTGGGACTACATTTGCTGTCTTCCATACTTCGGGTAGTTGCCCTGTTTCGATAGATGTGTTGAAGATTGTTGTTAGGGGTCCACATAACGCCTCTGCTCCCTCTCTTAGGACCCATAGAGAGATGTTATCCGGCCTCATTGCCTTTGAGGTATCTAGCTCGCTTAGCAGCCTTTTCACTTCTTTCTCGGTTGTATGTATTGTGTCTAACACTTGATGGTGTACCCCACCTCTCCAATTTTCTGGAGTCCCTTCTGTCTCCTCTGTGAACACTTCTTTGAATCTCTTGTTGAGCTCCTTACATACTTTGCAGTTGTTTCTTGTGATCTCTCCTCCTTCCTTCCTCAGCCTGATTACCTGGTCCTTGACTGTCATTTTTTCACCTCATGTGGCTGTACAACAGCTTCAGGTCAGATTTGGCTTTCACTGCTATGTCATTTTCATATTATCATTGAGCCTCCCTTCTTACCTGTGCATATTCATTTCTGGTTCTACGACTTCTCTCCTTATTTTCCTGGGTCCTTTGCCTTCTATACTTCTTCCATTCTCTATCACACTTGGTTTTGGCCTCTCTACATCTTTGGGTGAACCAAGGGCTCATCCTGGCTTTCTCGTTATTTCTGTCACTCTTGAGTACAAACCTCTCTTCAGCTTCCTTGCATATTGTTGTCACATACCCCATCATCACGTTTACTGACTTCCCTGTCAGTTCTCAGTCCCACTGAACCCTGTGTTGGAAATTCTTCATGCCTGTGTAGTCCCCTCTCTTGTAGTTTGGCTTCATTCCTCCGGCCCTTCCTGCTTCCCCCTCCATTTGTAACTCTACTGTGTATTCGAAACTTAGAACCACATGATCATTGGCCCTGAGGGGTCTTTCATATGTGATGTCCTCAATGTCTGCACTACTCAAGATGAATACTAGGTCCAGTCTTGTTGGTTCATCCTCTCCTTAAGCTTAAGGTGTTCAAATGAGGCATACTCATGTTATTTCTTGGAAAATATTACATAATTTTAGAAGTAAAACTGGAAAATTGTCACTTTATAATATACGCAACAACAGTCCCAACCATCTTTTTTTAATTAAGTAGGATATATCACCACTGAAAGTTTGAAACCGATCGGATGAGGCATTCTCAAGATATAAACGAAGATCTCAGAGGGGAAAAAATTTGGACAACCACTTGAAGATAATCTTTCAAGGCTTCCTAATAACAGTGATCTCCATCCTCTTAGCTTATAAGCAGTGCTCTTGAAGGAAGAGGAAGGGATAAGATAAGATTTCGTTCGGATTTTTAATCCCCGGAGGGTTAGCCACCCAGGATAACCCAAGAAAGTCAGTGCGTCATCGAGGACTGTCTAACTTATTTCCATTGGGGTCCTTAATCTTGTCCCCTAGGATGCGACCCACACCAGTCGACTAACACCCAGGTACCTATTAGGTACCTATTTGCTGCAAGGTGAACAGGACAACAGGTGTAAGGAAACGTGTCGAAATGTTTCCACCCGCCGGGAATCGAACCCGGGCCCTCCGTGTGTGAAGCGAGAGCTTCAGCCACCAGGCCACCTGGTAGGGGGGTACATTAATGGGGGTGAAGGTCTCTTCATCCAAAGAATTAGAACCAGCAACGCAAGAAATGTATTTATTTATTAAATAAGGAAACAAAAATAATAAATGTTCTCGTAGGAATAATGGATAATTCCAATGAATCATCTAATAATCACTACTGCATCACCAGAAACTGATTTCTTTCATTTTCTATTAACTAATATTATTTTACGTTAGGGGAATTATCATAATACTTTTTAAGTGACATCAAATCTTATTATCAGGCTAAATTTCTTTTTGAATATCTTGAAATTAATTCTTGAACAAAGAAAGTTAAATTTATCAAATTAACTTTATATTACAAATAACCCCGCGGACTTTAGATTTAAATTCATGCAAGAAGAAAAATATTTACTAAAAAGACAAATACAGAATATATAAAATTGCTGTAAATGCTGTGTATTCCAAATACAAAAAAATATTTAGGTTAAGAAGGCTAATAGATGCTGGTAAATATGGAGTAATATGAGAAAGATGGTGATATAAAGTTAATACCAGAATGAGTCATATTGTTGGAATTTGTTATTGTAAATATGGCACTGCTTAGAAGTCCTCTGTCCTAGATTCTTGAAGTTATAATGATGTGAATAGAATAGACACTGGGTGTGTGGAGAGGCTTAGACGTTATTAGGAAGATAATGGCGCTAGTGACCATCCAGAGGTCTCCCAGTGTCAGCAGTTCACCCCCATCGTCGGTAAGTGTCCTGGAGCCTCAGGTGGGGCTCTGCAGTAGGTTCCTGGGGAAGACCCTTCCAGGGGGTGACGGGGCTGGGGAAAGGACTCTTGATCTGAGGAAGTGGAGTTGCCTTCTCATTCCTCTGGTGAATCTTGATTGCCTCCTATTTCCCAGGTGCTGTATGACTTCTATGGGTTCAGCCACTCCCCATAATTATAATAATAATGGGGAGACATTTGGGGAGGCTTCAGTAATGGAATTATAAAAAAAAATTACTATTTAGATTAAATATATATAGTTTTACTGACTACAATACATTCTCCAGGATGTGTGTGACCCTTACAGGCACATTTCCTCTCCAAGATAGTAATAATAATATAATCTTCAGGGTGAATTTTGGAAATGGTTCATTTATGAAATAATAATAATAATTATCATCATCATTTGGTTCATTACATAAGAATTTTAGAGATGGTATTGCCAAATGATCTTCTCTCAACACCACTTCTTCCTCATCCATACATCTTTCTTCTCTGTATGACCCTTACATGTTTAGCCCTCTCTGTGAATAATAATAATGACTGTACTAAACATTTATTCACTGACTACACGAATGACATTGAAGATTGTATCCATATATTTGTGATAGCCGTATCAACACTCTCCAGGATTTGTTTTGCCAAAACATATAAATAAGTGCAGATTACAGTATTAATCATTTGTTTCTGGTTATGACTTTGACAAGTGTTTAATAAGATTTTTTAATTAAATCAATATACACACAAAAATTGTATGGCAATATTTATTCCATTGTGCAGTTGTACTTCAGTACTAATTTAAATGGCTTATTTTATCTTGATTTTAGAACAAATTTATTTATGGTCTGAATACTTGGAGTATTAATTCTTCATACAAATTGAAGACACAAAAATACAGTAGAAGGATAATTTCTTGATAATATATATGAAGCTATATTAGCTCTTATTGTTACTATTAAAAAAAGGTTCATATGACTCATTAGAATGTTATTCATGTATTGTACATAGAGTAGAAATAAACTTGAAGGGGGGGAAAAAAGGCTTATGCCAATGGAAATAAATTTACTGGGCTTAGTTATTTCAGGTTATGGTAGTTCTTTAGTAAGTAAATTTTTATTTAGGCTCTATATATTTAACATACAGTGGTCATATGAGGGCACACATGTTTTAAGCAATAAAATTATGTACATTTTGTTGATTTAAAGTAGGCCAACCCAATAAAATCAAGCATGTATCATAATTAAATAATTAATATAAATGTACATAACTGTTTTGAAATGTTAAATTTTAAATGGTATGTAAAGATTCTTTTGCCATTGTCAATAAAATACAAAATATATAGTATAGTTTTTATGTTTTTTTTTGGAAAGCCTAATCTGAGGCTGGGTTATAAGAGTAAAAAACACTGAACTCACCATTGGTGAAAATGTATTTATGTTAGTAATGCTCACTAGTACTACCTAACTCCAAAGAAATGTTTGATTGTGGGACCAGGAGTGGATGGAGAGACTTGTTATACTATATGAATATAGGAAAGCACTGGTTTGGTAATAGAGTTGTGGATGAGTGGAACAAACTCCCGAGTACAGTTATTCAGGCTAAAACGTTGTGTAGTTTTAGATAAATACATGAGTGGGTGTGGGTGGGTGTGAGTTGGACCTGACCAGCTTGTGCTGCTGAGTCTGGTGCAGTGCTCCATCCTTGAGTGGAGGTGACCAGACTGGGTGGGTCATTGGGCTAATCCAGGGGGGGGGGGTCATTGGTCTAATCTGGAGGGGGAGACATGGACCTGCTCCACATTGGTCAGTAGGCCTGTCGCAGTGTTCCTTCTTTCTTATGTTTTTATGTTCTTATATAAAATATGTATAAAGCTTGCATTGAAAAATTTTAGATTATGGGATCAGGCATGACTGAAGTAGTTTATTGTTTATAATACTGTATGCATAGAGTTTGATGTGTTAAGAGCCTGGATTAAACTGGTTATTTGAAGGAGATTCCTACCCCTGATAACTTTGAGATACAGTGTAAAGGTTTTCATCTTTAGGCTCTTCACAGCCATTAAATATCTGTTTGCTTCTCACAGATGCAATGTGAAAAATTTCCAATTTCTGTATCACGTTTTGCTAGACCTCTTTGCAGATAATGGTGAATCTCACTATTGTATGGTACTTATTCACAGTGAGGCTGTGAAAATACTATTTACATACCTGCTTTTCTCACAGGGTTTTAATAGTTCCTATGCAATCCTAATTCCCAGTAAACCATATTCTTTCAATAAACATGACTGTTTTTGGCTAGGCCACTTTAGGTGGGTGTCATAATAATTTTTGGATAGGAGGATGAAGAAGACTATTTGGATTACATACTACTAACCAAGCGGATTAAAAACTCAGGATAACCTAAGGAAGCAGTATGGCTGATTTTTATTAGGGTCCATATAGATCTTCTCCTAGGATGCAACTTACAACCATCAGATAACCCCTAGGTATCTGTTTATTACCAGGTGAACTTGGGCAGCAGGTGTTAGGAAACTTGTCCATATATCTATCCATGTCCATGATTGAACTTGGGTCCTTGCAGTTATTAGCTGAACACTTTAATACTGACCTACAAGGTACCACTGATAATTGATAGGATTGTAAGATTATACATATAACTGCAGAGCAAGTGTGGTGATTAACCCTGGCCCTTTTAAAAATATTAGTAAGTGTTTTTCATTTTTAGAGAATGGGGCATAAAGGTTTCAATTTATACAGTTGATGATTCAAAGGTTAAATGAATGTGGGATTAATGAAATAATAATTCTTGGAATTTCCATTGATTATGCAAACAAGTGATAGGAATATGGTACATCCTCAAAAGAATGCTTGTTTATTAATAACATACACAGTCAATCATTCATGTATATTGTACTTACACAGTAAACCATTCTTATATAATTTAGAGTATATGTATACTGGATAGCGTACGTGTATATTTTATAATGCTAAAATTTTTGCTCTGTCAGTTTTTATTTTCAAAGGATTTGAAAAATTAGTTTTTTACTTTATTTGTATTTTTTAACTGATCACCTATTCATTTGTCAGATTTTTTTGCTACTTAAGAAATATAACTATTCTTTAATTATAATAATTTTTTGTGTCAGGAATATGGAAGTTCAGGACATTCATTAGAAGAAGAGGAACAGAAAAATAGAAGGTATGCACTGTTTCTGTAATTGTTTTTCCGGATACTGTATACAGTATATCAACACTTACACAAAAAATAATCCCACTTAGCAACTTGAATTTATTAACATTTTCATTACAGTAGGGTAATCTTGTTGTATTTAAAATTTGTAAATTACACTGGTTAAAAATATACATTGTAAAATAAATTGCAAGGGAAAGGTATTTATTTAAGGTGAAATTCAACATTAATATTGACTCTTTCTAAATGTAATTATAATATCCATATAATGTAATAAGTAAAGTGTTAGAATTTGTGTGAAATGTACAAGAATATCACTTGAAAAAAGTACTATTTATCTATATTGTACATTGTATATACTGTATTATTAATTACATATTCAGATAAAATGAAAAAAAAAAAAATATAAGAGAGAATTTCTTTTTCCTTTATGCTGGTGTTTCATTAATGTTTTTTTTTTCTTTTATGCTACAGTTTGAGTGAATATTACTTCGCAGTAAAGGGTGAGTAGTTACTTAGGTAACATTACTTCGTAAAATAGTAGGCTATGGCAAGAAATCCTTATAAAACACATTGCTAAAATTATGAAAAATCCAATACCATAATAAAAAATTTCCTAGGTAGTAGGTTGGGAGACAGCAACTGCCAAGTGAGTGTAAAATGGAAGCCTGTAATTGTTTCACATGATGGTAGGATTGCTGGTATCTATTTTTCTGTCTCATAAACATGCGCAATTTCAGGTACTTCTTGCTACTTCTACTTACACTTAGTTCACACTACACATGCAAATACGTACAAGCATATACATGTATATACACACACCTCTCTGGGTTTTCTTCTTTTTTCTTACGAGTTCTTATTGTTATTTCCTTTCATCTCCATGGGAAAGTGCAGCAAAATTCTTCCTCCGTAAGCCATGTGTGTCATAAGAGGCAACTAAAATGCTGGGAGCAAGGGGCTAATAACCCTTTCTCCTGTATACATTACTAAATTTATGAAGAGAAACTTTTGTATTTCTTTTTGGGTCACCCACCCTCGGTGGGATACGGCTGGTTGGTTGAAAGAAGAAGAATAAAAAATTTACAGGGAAAAAATACCCAAGCATTTTCATGAATTTTCAAGCATCTTCAAAGTAACTGGTAGTTCCTCGAGAGATGTGTAACTGTAAATGTGAAAATGTTCAAGTACTGTATAGTATTTTTCTCTGCTATTCTTTTAAACTGGTACATTTCATAGTAGTACGTTTATTGAGTAATTCAGTAAAGTTAATCACTTTAATAAAGAAGTGTATTATATGTACAGTATGTACTTGGGAGCTGAAAAGTTTAAGGTACCCCATTCTGCATACTGCAGTCTTAAATGCATTTGTAATAGCATAATTTTAATTCATTGCATTATATTTTTTAATCTGTAGGAAATATTTAGGCATAGTATTTTGTTTAATTGCTCTGGTTCTCAATTCCAGGTTTCGGAGTACTACTACCAAAAAATGAGTGTCAGTTGGGTAGAGGTCGGCGCACGGGTACGGCCCCGCCTGATATTCAGGGCCACTTGCAGGCTATGCTGCATCTCCTCTGCCCAGGGGATACATTGCATATGGTTAGTATACTACTACTTTGCTTAACACAGATTTTTTTTGATTTAATTTTGGATGTTAGCTTCTTTGAAGATCACATTTATAGCAGATAAATGATGTTGAGGTTTTCCATGGTTCATTTAAAAACTGGATTGCACATTTATGGACAGGAAACTCATTTCTTCATGATAAAACCACACAGTTGGCCATACTTCTTTTTTGGTTACTCAAAAAAGAAGCATTTTCACCATGACTCATTCCATCACTGCCTTGCCTGAGGCACACTGATACTACAGTTCAGATACTCTTCCAGACTGCAGCATCCCTACCCCTCCTTCAGTGTCCACCCACCTCCAGGAATTATATCCTTCTGACTGGTTTCCTGAATCCCTTTATAAATGTTACCTTGTTCTCACACTCCAACAGCACATTATTATGAAGAACTACTTGCCACAACTCACTCCTATCTAACATGCCTGTTGTTATTATTATTATTATTATTATCATCATTATTATTGTTATTATTATTGTCACAGAATTAAAGTAATTTTTATAAGGTAGAAAAATAAATGTGCTGTTGTAATATTAAAAGTTAAAGTATGGTTTTACTATGCTTCTAACAGTTGCTCTTTCTTGCCAGCTTGTCTTAGTGATATTTTATCCATTTTCTTCTAGGCTGTCCGTTTGGAGTCGCAGCATGTTGGCCGCGTACGTTACTTGGCTGTGACGGGGAGGACTGGGCGGCAGGATAAAGAGGAGGACTGTTTGCTTGGAATAGATTTTACTGGGGAGAAACCTTCCATAGGACTTGTATTACCAGTTCTAGCTGACACCAGAATTAACCTTAATGGCGATGGGTGAGTTTGTGGCAAAGCCATGTACTACAGTAGTAGAGGTACAGATAGTACTGCAATGTAATCATATAATGGAATGGTTGTAGGGTGTTCACTGGATGTACTTTTTTTAAAGAATGTAAAGTAGCTGATTAGTTCAGTGCTAGGGGTGAATGCAATAGGATTTTCTCTAGCAGTGTGGAAAAATTCATTCACATTGCTCCTTTATATGTAAGTTGAGGACTCTCACAAGTGGAATTAGAGGCTGTTACCCTGGATGTAATCCATTTTGCATGGAAACAGATTATACTGTATTGTATACTGATGTGATGCTCAGTGGTGAGAAATTACATCTACTGTGTATTGCAAAAGAGGAAGAGCTCGTAAGTAGGTACTATATATGAGGTACATCATTTTATAGATTGAAGGGAACAAATATAGGATGTAGGACTATTAAAAGTCAAATAATCTAATGTTTATAGAGTATGGTACAGTAAAACATGTATAGCCTCTTCTGTAAAATTTCGAGGCAGATTATGAGAGCTTTCAAAACAAGGGATGATAGTCTTCAAGGCACTTGTGTTCAAGATGCTTGTGCTCTCATGTTCGTGTATCTTCACTCATATCTCTTGTTGAGGTAGGTGAAATATTCAATCTAGAAAACACAGTAGTACATAGTAAAGTACAGTATATGATCTTTACACAGATAACCTGCACATAGAAGAGAGGAGCTTACAACAACGTTTCGGTCCGACTTGGACCATTTACAAAGTCACTTTGTAAATGGTCCAAGTCGGACTGAAATGTCGTCGTAAGCTCCTCTCTTCTATGTGCGGGTTATTTGTGTATCGTTCCAGTCACGGTATTGTGCTTTTTTTGTTATTTATATAATCTTTCACATCAATTAAAGGAATGCTTTCTTATGATTTTTCCATGTGGAATGCCATCCTTTCCAATAATCCTTTTTAGATTGCTTTAGTTGGGAGTTCAAAACATTCCAGCTCAGTCATAGGCCTATAAAAAAATATTCAGTAAACAGCTCTCTTCTTTACCTTCTGTATAAACAACTACTTAAGCTCTTAAATTTTTCTTTTTTGCTTCACATTTATACTTTTTAAAGCTAATCCCTTTCATATTGCTTGGTTGCAGTGGCTTCAGTGTGTGTACAGGTGGGCGGAAACACATCTTCAAGCCTATCTCCGTTCAGGCTATGTGGTGAGTGCTTTGCTGCTTTGTTGCCGCATTTGTTTTATATCTCCTCTTGTGACAAAGTGAAAGCTTGTTACACTCTACATGTCCTAAAATTTCCTATGTATTCTGTTTAACACGCTTTTGCTGTGCACTGTTTTAAATGGGGGCTGCAAGAGATGTTACAGCATGTCATAATGCTGAACAGAATGTTATATTTAGCAATTATGGATGCATAATATGAGAGAGATTGATATTAGTCAGTACTGTTGGCTTAACCCTTTGACTGTCGCAAGCCCCTTTCTGAAACTGTGATTCTATGTTGCAAAAGTTTTGGAAAAAAAAAATTTTTCTTATGAAATGATAGAGAATCTTTTCCCGATGGTAATGACACCAAAAATACGAAATTTGGTCGAAAACTCATGGAATTACGCTCCCACGAAGTTAGCGGTCTCGGCGACATATACGCATCGGCAATTTCACCAACTTTGAGCCCTGTTTTTGGCCAATTCCGTTGCTCCAGTTAACGAAACTCATAGCTATTTCTTTAGAACTCCATTTTTTTCTATCAGTTGAGTACAAGAAACCGCCCATTTACCGATTTGAACTACCCAATAAAGTGGTCAGAAATTGGCTATTTGGCCAATTTCACACAAATTAAAAAAGATGCCAATTTCAAAATAGGGTCCAGAATAAACAATGTAGACATTCTTGGCACTAAAATAACATATCCTGTGTTCATTAGTCACATCTCTAGGCCCCTCTTATATTACTATTGCTTTCTATTTTGATTTTTTATTCATACAAAAAAAATACAAAATTTACTGTTATGCAGACTAATGCATTATTGTAAAAATTATGTAAATAATATCAGTGCACAAGTGCACTGATATTGACGTGTATTGAATGTGCGGTGTAATTTGTTTACTCCTGAACATTGGCAAAAATCGAACATTTCCGCTACTTTGAGCTCAGTTTCAAGGTCGTTTTCATCATGAAAATAATGAAAATCATCTCTATTTCTATAATATGTTTTCCATTTTGTCACCTGAGACCATGAAAACGGGAATACCACGATAAATTCTGTAAGAAAATACACCTCAAAGTCGGCGTTTTAATCCAAAAAAGCTGTTTTTTTTTTTTTCATTACGCACTGCGTGCTGCAGGATTTCTTTTATGTGGTGCACACTGACCACACAGACCCATTCTCTCACATGTGGGCCTACCAGCTTGCTCCTGCTTGATTTCAAGCCGCTAGAATTTACGCGTATAAATACGTCAGAAACAATGGCGCGTAAGACGTATATATACGATGTAAACAGTCGAAGGGTTAATGTAATGTCTTTACTGACCTCCTTCCTGGGTCTTGAGTGCTTAGTTTCCTCCCCAAACCCCTTCTTGGGTGACACCCCCCCAACTGTAGAATACAGTGAATTCTTTATTATCCTTGAATAATTGGATAATAAAATACTGTACGTATTTTGTGCCACATAAGATGCACCAGCATGTAGGATGCACCCTAAATATGCTGAATATCCCTTACCTATTATATTTTTTAATTGTTCTCTTTGTTAAATGGAATTATTTGTAAATCCCAAGCTTGCATCATGTATGCTGCAAAATACTGTAACCAACTGTAACAATCACTTTTGTAAACATTAGACTGATGTATGCATGTCTAAGTCTTAAATAATAAGGAAAACTGCTTACAGAAGATAGAAACAGAGTTATCCTTTTCAAGCACATTTATAGATCATTTGTTTGTATATTTTACTTAGTGTTATAGATTTTTAATGTTTTTCAGATGTAAATTATTGTGTAAATGACTCATGTCCAATTGTTGGGAATACAATATGTATATGAATTAATGTAGTTGTTTTCTTGATTTGCAGGTGAGTGTTGAAATTCATCTCTATTGGAGAAGGTAAATATTGGCTGAGTATTATGTGTTGATGAGGCAGTCACACTGTTCATATTATCATACAAAGACACCCCTTCCCCAAACCCCCCATACTTTATATTTGTGCTTTTGTTCTTGGAGCCTGTGTCAGAACTATTCTCTAAAACTCTCTTAGCAGCTCGACATTAATAAAAATGGTACCAAAAAAGAAGGGGGTTTTGGGAGTTATGTGGGATAAGCAAAACATAATGTTGAAGGAAATTGTAAACTGATAGAGCTGTGTCATGCTGCTTATTGCTGTATGCGAACATTTCTTTTAATAGTTCATTGTTAGTTTTTTTTATATTATGATGGTACTCTGCTGTGTTGTTTGATATTTTTTACACACAAAACAGAGTAATACTAAATAATTATTCAGCGTATTATACTGGAATAATCCCCTATTTACTGAAAATTACTTTTTTGCAATATATTGAAAAATGACTCCTGGTATGGATCTTTAAGAAATATATTGCACACATTTAAACATAATTTTAACCACATCACACACACACACATATCTTAAATTTTGGTCTTAATTGCACACAAGTGCAGTAGTACTAACTTTTTATGACCAGGCACTCGACATTTGTGTAACTGGTTTCATTATTAAATAAATCAGTTACTCTTTCATCATATTTGGACCTGCCCACCAAGCTTGGCAACCAGCAGTGGTCTTGTGTTTATATTATATATTTGTATACCTTCAAGAGAGATTGCACCTCCCACTGTCTTCACTCTCCAGAGTGTATGGTTAACTTAGTATTGCAGTGTGGTACCCCTGGTATTTCTGTGTAATATGCTCTTGTATTGCAGTGTAGTACCCCTGGTATTATAGTGTAGTACCCCTGGTATTGCAGTGTAGTACCTCTGGTATTGCAGTGTAGTACCTCTGGTATTGCAGTGTAGTACCCCTTGTATTACAGTGTAGTACCCCTGGTATTGCAGTGTAGTACCTCTGGTATTGTAGTGTAGTACCCCTGGTATTGCAGTGTAGTACCCCTGGTATTGCAGTGTAGTACCCCTGGTATTGCAGTGTAGTACCTCTGGTATTGCAGTGTAGTACCCCTGGTATTGCAGTGTAGTACCCCTTGTATTACAGTGTAGTATGCCTGGTATTGAAGTGTAGTACCCTTGGTATTGCAGTGTAGTATCATCTTGTATTGCAGTGTAGTACCCCAGGTATTGCAGTGTAGTACCCCAGGTATTGCAGTGTAGTACCCTTGGTATTACAGTGTAGTATCCTCTTGTATTGCAGTGTAATACCCCTGGTATTGCAGTTTAGTACCCCTGGTGTTGCAATGTAGTACCCCTAGTATTTTTGTGTAGCACCCTCTGGTATTACAGTTAAGTACCCTTGGTATTGCAGTGTGGTGCCTGGGGGTATTGCAATGTAGTACTCTCTGGCATTGCAGCAGTAGCAACAACAGTAGCAGATATTGCTGCAGCAACACCATAAGTAGCAGTTATAGTAGCACCCTAGGACTAGTGGTAATAGTGTCAATAGCACTGTAGTAGTATCTGCAGTTGTAATTGTATCAATAGTTACAACACTGGATATGGTCGTAGCAGCAGCAGATGCAGCAATAATAGTGACAGTTTAGTAGTAATAGCAGTAATAGCATTAGGCATAGCAGTAATAGCAGTAGCATGTTGTATGACCCTTACAGGTTTAGCATTTAGTTTCAATTGTAATAATAGCAGATGATGTAGCAGTAATAGCAGCCCTAACAGTAGTTGTAGCTTGTGCTATTAGAGTAGCTGTAGTAGCAATAGTAGTGGTAACATTGAATGTAGTGTTAACATTGAATGTAGTGGTAACATTGGATGTAGTGGTAACATTGAATGTAGTGGTAACATTGGATGTAGTGGTAACATTGGATGTAGCAGTAATAGTACGGTAACAGCAGCAAAACAGTAGTAACAGCAGCAGTAGTATTAGGGTAATAGCAGCAGAAGTAATTACGTAATAATGGGTATAGTAGGAGCAGCAGTAGGGTTGTAACAGCGACAGCAGTAGTAATAGGGTAGTAACAAGGATGTAATAGCAAAAGCAGCAGTAATAATAGGGTAATGACAGCAGCAGAAATAAAGGGTAGTGACAGCAGCAGTAATAATAGGGTAGTGACAGCAGCAGTAATAATAAGGTAGTGACAGCAGCAGTAATAATAGGGTAGTGACAGCAGCAGTAATAATAGGGTAGTGACAGCAGCAGTAATGATAGGGTAGTGACAGCAGCAGTAATAATAGGGTAGTGACAGCAGCAGTAATAATAAGGTAGTGACAGCAGCAGTAATAATAGGGTAGTGACAGCAGCAGTAATAATAGGGTAGTGACAGCAGCAGTAATAAAGGGTAGTGACAGCAGCAGTAATAAAGGGTAGTGACAGCAGCAGTAATAATAGGGTAGTGACAGCAGCAGTAATAATAGGGTAGTGACAGCAGCAGTAATAATAGGGTAGTGACAGCGGCAGTAATAAAGGGTAGTGACAGCAGCAGTAATAATAGGGTAGTGACAGCAGCAGTAATAATAGGGTAGTGACAGGAGCAGTAATAATAGGGTAGTGACAGCAGCAGTAATAATAGGGTAGTGACAGCAGCAGTAATAATAGGGTAGTGACAGCAGCAGTAATAAAGGGTAGTGACAGCAGCAGTAATAAAGGGTAGTGACAGCAGCAGTTATAATAGGGTAGTGACAGCAGCAGTAATAATAGGGTAGTGACAGCAGCAGTTATAATAGGGTAGTGACAGCAGCAGTAATAATAGGGTAGTGACAGCAGCAGTAATAAAGGGTAGTGACAGCAGCAGTTATAATAGGGTAGTGACAGCAGCAGTAATAATAGGGTATTGACAGCAACAGTAATAATAGGATAGTGACAGCAGCAGTAATAATAGGGTATTGACAGCAACAGTAATAATAGGGTAGTGATAGCAATAATAATAAGGTAGTGACAGCAGCAGTAATAAGGTAGTGACAGCAGTAATAATAGGGTAGTGACAGCAGCAGTAATAATAGGGTAGTGACAGCAGCAGTAGTATTATTAACTGGGTAGCGACAGCGGATGTAGTAGTAGCAGCAGTAGTGGTAG